GCCCGTTGAGGACAACTAGGCCATTGGGTTTCGCTTAGACGTTTCGAGGGCAAAACTACCCCCAGGGGAGAGTACTGTTGTGTAAACTACTAGGGGGTAGCCGGTTTACTCCAATTATTCACTGGGAAGTGATAATTAACACAAGATTGTACCTAGATGGGACAGAGGAGGCTGTTAGCTTTCCATAGGTCTTTGGATCATCCCAAACGGGTTAGCGGTAGTGGAGCTATGGCTTATAGAAGTTCCAGTACTTGCGGTTGGGCCCCTACCGTACTCGGGGATGAGATACTATCGATACGGGTACATTCGATACGCTGTTCTGTCGATTGTGTACCGCTGCATGTGGGGGTCATGTGACCGACCCCGCACGACAGCCTGTAATTCCATTGTGCCCACTCTCGCCTCCCAGCGGCTGCACCCACAGGCCGCAAGGCGCCGCGCGCACCCACTGCGCGTACGGCCGCCCCGCGCCCGGCCATTCTGCAGGCCTGGGCCCACACTGCGCATCCGAAGAAGACGAGCGCCCCGCAAAGCCCGCCGGCCATCCGGCGGAGGGGGCCCCGCGGCCCCATCGGGCGCCTCGGCGGGAGCATCGCCCGCGAAAAGACCGAAAACCACGCCAACCAATCCCTCTTCTCCCCTTGGCCCATTGTACGGGTGCCCAGTCCGACATGATGCAATTTGGGTTGTAAACTAGCTCCTCTCAAGTTTCGTTCCTATTCCAGATTAGCTCAACTACTGGTGATAACCTGATTGGCACGAGTGATGACAACCAGCTGGGAAATTGGCAACAGAGCACTATAGACCAAACGAGTCTGAGAACAGCGGGTTGCGTCCCCTATCTGGTAAGGAGTACCGGCCGAGGCAGTATTTATGTATATTTATTTATTCATGTGTATTTATTTGTGACGGCGTGGACTACAAATAGGTAGACATGCGTTGTTTAAACATATTGACATATTGGAACTTGGTATGTCAGTGTTGTGGCCCGAATCTGGAGGCAAAGGTTGCTGGACACGGAGAAAAAACCCGCTTGGCAAAAATTGCCTCCAACAGAAACCGCCGCTAACCAACGCAATACTGCCAGAATCTCAAAGTCCCTGATGGATAGCAACGGAACGCCAGGAAAGGCAGCAAAAAAAAAGCGCTTTTACAGAAACCGCTGGCTGTAAACACCCCCTTGACGGACAGCTCCAAAGCCAAAAAATTGAAAGTTGACGTGGCATGAACGGCTACAGAAACCCGGCCCCGGCAAAGTGACGGAAAATCAACGGACGGATTGTTTGAGTTCAAAAATGTTGCAGAAGTAAAATAACAGAAAAAAAGCTGGGCAGCCATGTCTAGTATATGTTCCTCTCGGTTTTCATGACCAACTTGCTATACTATCAAAAAGTGCAAGCACTCAACCTGTTTTTGTTTTTATTCTTTTTTTTTCTTTTTCTATTTGGTGGTGGCATACTCGGGTCATCCCACACAGTCAGAACACGTGTCAGACATGAGTCCCTCGCCAGCTGAGTCATAAGTGATTCACCCAGCCAAACGGTGATCATTATGCAGCTGCGCAAACATGTATTAATCCAAACCCCAACTTCAAACCTGGCGACGAAAAAAGCACTTAGTGGGGCGGCCAGGGACCCGCTGCGGCAAACAGGTCGATTGCGCTTGCCAGACTCGACCGCGGTCGCGGTGCGCGGCGCCTTCAAGCGCCGCAATGAGCTCCGAAGACGGCGACAAGCCGCCGGAGGTGCGTGCCCAGGATCCGGGCACCCCAAACCACCCCGTCGCGCCCTCCCCTTCCGCGCATTCCCCCGTGACGAATTGCTTCTCTGCGGGCGGCAGGAGGGCATGGCGGGTGCGGACGGGCCCGACGGCGAGCAAGTAATCGAGGAGGCGGGCCAGGGCAGCGGCGACGACGCCATGGATGATTTGGAGGCCGATGGGGAGCGGGAGGAAGTGAACGGCGAGGCCGGCGCTGAGGAGGAGGCCGCGGAGAGTGGGGGGCAAGGGGAGCGGCAGGGGGAGCAACAGGAGGGGGAGGGGATGCAAGTGGAGGGCGTGGGAGAAGTACGTGGGACGCGCAGGCCTGTCGCGTCGAACTGGGGATCGCGATCCGCGGGCGGGGAAGGGGTGGGCGGTGGGGCTGACTGGGATGGTGGGGTAGCGAGGACTTGCGGCGGACCATGAGCGAGCCATGCGGTGTGTCGTAAGCCGTGATGTCCTTGCTGTGCGTTCGATCCCTTCGGAGTGAGGAAACTGTTGTGGGGATGGCAGCAGGCGGCCACGCGTCCCGAACGCTGCTTGGGTATGCCATCCGTTCACGGAGTGAATACCCTTGCAGTTGGGGCCTGCAAGACGGTCGTTGTTGTTTGTTAGCAAGCTTCCATGCAGCATCAGCAGCTTCCATTGAGTATCAGTACCGGGCAGCGGTATGTCCCTGTCCCCTGCTGGCAGATCTCCAACCAAGGCCCTTGTTGGCAGACTAGAGACCCATGGCGTGTAAATGGAGCCAGTGTAGGGGCGATGGTGGCTGGGCATCAAGCCCACTGTGCGAACTGCAGCTCTTGCCTGTCGTCGCTGAAAGTATCGACTCCAGTGGAAAGGGCACATAGGTGCACTTAGATTGATCTTGAAGGCAGAGGTACAGCTGGTGGGGCTGGTGTCAACCCTGTTTAAGATTCTTCCATGTCACAAGCTGCATGCTGTTGGACTGGCTGGCTTTGTGCCAAAGGAGATGTCATGTTGATGTTGTGCACTCGTGGGATGTGCCTTGTGCACTGGCTGGTGGGAATGATCTGGGGACAGTTGGAAACATGGCCGAGGAATGCATTTGGGTACTATAACTTTGTTGGCTGTTGCTGCTTAGCCCTGATTTCACATGCAAACATTTTCACAGGCTGGATGGCATAACTTTGTCCAGAAGATAACAAAGATTGTTGTGTGTCAAGAAATTACTGGGCTTTGCCCTTTGCCAGTACAATACAGCACCAGGCCTGGGACGTGTGGGTATTGACTGGAATTGTGTGCTATCAGGCTGACAGCAAGAAAGTGGAGGATGTCAAGCAAGATACAAAAGACACAACAAAGTAATACAGGGCGTTTCTCTACCCTGGCTGCCTGTGTACTGATCCTGAATTGCAACTGAGCCTCTGGAAGGAACAGATGATCTGTGATCTGTGTGACAACGCCATGTATGCCCAATTCTTGCAAGTGTGTAGTTCCTGTGGGACGTTTTTCAAGTTGCATCTTCTTACTGACAATAGGTGCTGTTCCTCTGAAACGATAACTCCAGTTGGCAGATGGATATCAGGGGTAGCACATGCAGGGCAGATCGTCAAATTGGGCGATAAGAAGCTGCTACATTTTCATTCTGGTGTGATGACTGTTTGCAGAGGGGAGGATGGCACTGGCCCACCAGAAACTGATGACTTTCTGAGCATGCCCCCACATGGCACAGAGGTAGAAGCCTATGGTGCATCCATTGAAGTCAAGATGCGATACATTTTTCTTTCCCGATTCCAAGCAACTGTCAGCCAGAGGCCCAGCAATTCACTGTGGCTTGTTGCTGCTTCTCTCTTAGTGCTGCTTGCCCACAAGACATAAGCAAATTTTGCGCTGTTTGACAAATAGTTGCTTTCTGCCACGATGATCAACTGAACTGTGCCCACCGCTTGGACTCGAAGCTGAATGGCGATGGTTTGAGGCCAGGTGTCACACGCAGGTATTTGTGGGTGGCCTTGCTAAATCCACCACGGATGCAGAAATTCAGGAATTTTGTGAACAATGTGGCGAGGTGAGTAGCTTCTTTTGGCAGTATGTTGTTCCAAACTGTGTGGGTTGGTAATAAGCGGAATGCTTGAGTTTGTGGGGCGTTTTCATGAAGAGGTGGTGATGGAAGCAAGATCGTTGACAAAAGGGCGGAAAATCTGATTTATTCAACGTCTTCTGTTGTCATAGCTGGCTTAACCCTGGGGGGTGCGGCGGCCACGAGACCAACTCTTGGTGCCAATGACGTTTATTTTGTCTTTGTTTCATCATGAAGCTTAGAGGGCTTTTAAAAGTGGAAAACCTGGAGGTACAGCACAATACAGTATAGATTGCAAGGCCAACATGTGATGAGCACCTTTGCTGTATGCTATGGACTTAATCAAGCAATGAGCTCAGTTCTGTTCAGACTGATGCACACATTGGAGGGTGCTGTGAACTGCAGCTTTTTTGACAGTCGCGACTTAATGGGGCAGTTTCGCTCATCCACAGTGAGCTGAGGGGCCCCCTTGTTCTTATCATTCTGATTTCATACTTCTGTGTTTTGTAGGTGTTCAGCCTTAGGGTACCAAAAGATCCTGGCATTCCTGGACAGAACAGAGGGTATGACACTGAGTGCTGACACTGCAGTTGTGCAAGCCTGTGGGCCATGCTAGCGTTTAATCGTGGTGTTTGGCTGTTGCTGGTGCCTGTGGTCTGACACTTATCTGAAATACTCAACCAAGAGCTGTCCCCACGGTGGGGTACTCCCTTTATACAGTGTCTGGGCCCCACTGCACCTGAAACGCAGTCAAGGCAACAAGAAGCACACTTAAGAATGTGGGGCAAAGTGGTTTGGTTTCCTCAAAGGCAGTCGACAGAACCTTTTGCGTGTGCGCTGGGCCTGGGCTGGGACCTGTGCTTGTGATGTGTCTGGGTGTCCAGCATATCATGGGCATGTCCTGTGCGGCTCATTTGTTTGGGCAATCTAGCACTTGGATTTGCAGACAAGGATATGCACTAGCTGTTGAGCTGTCTCACACAGATATTAAGGAAATTTGGGATGTGCTGTGGAATGTGCAGGTATGCATTCGTCACCTTCAAGACCACAGAGCAAGCAGCCACAGCTACAGAAAAACTAAATCAGAAGGAGCTGGATGCACACCCAGGAAAGAAGGTAGGATGCATGCTGCAGATGCAAAGGGTACATGCTGTCAATCTGATCTCGGCAACATTTCCGGTGATTATGTCTGAAGTGCTGCCAATCCCTGTCTTGTTTGCTTGGTAGACAGCTGCCTTCTACAGCATTGTCAACTGATCGTTCCAGGACATGGATCGCAGGGATGTGGATTCGCAGGGCATCTTGAACAACAGAGGAGCCCCAACAGTGCTGCTTTGTGTTGTGACAAGTGCTAGCCACGATTGTACTGCTAAAGAGTATTCAGTCCTGAGCACAATTGTTTGGAGCATGACCATTGCCTCGTCGTTGGGATTTTGCGAATCTTGGGGTGTGATGTGGGACTTGCATTCAACGTCTTCGTTTCTGGGCAGCTGGCCAGCTTGCTGCTAAATTTTTATAGCACGAGTCTTTGTCGGATGCCATGAGTTCCAATCGCAAATTTTGGGGGCTTCTATGCATAGTGATGTTGTGCATCGGACATGCCTGGTCAAGGGTGGGCAAGGACGGTGTGGCTGTGCACGTTGGTAGACAAGCAAAGGAATCTGAGATACTAAACTCAATTCGTGTTCAACGGTTGAGGGCCCCCTCTTCATCCCACTGCCGATTTACCAGTATGCTGTCAGGGAAACAATCATTTGAACTTGCATGACATCGGGTGGTTAGGTGCTGGATATGACATAGCTTTTGTGTAGGGTTGAAGAATATTAAGACACTTATAACCTTGTTTTGTGCTGTATGCATTGTATTGTAGGTCCGGGTTATCCTGTCTCAAGTGAAGAACCGGCTCTTCATTGGGAACGTTCCAAAAGATCTGAAGTATGAGGACTTGAAGAAGGTTCTCGATGGTGAAGTGAAAGGTATTGATGCTGCTGATCATGGTGGTTCAATTGACAGTTAGTTCTTGGTGGTTGGGAAAGCCGCAGCACGGCCTTGAAACAGCAAGTGTAGCTTGAATCGCAAGAGTTTGTTCATTGACATGGCTGTATGCAACTACCCTCTTGAACAAGAGGTGGCAAGCTTTGAAGCTGGCATGTGCGCTCTGGAGTATGGCCACAAAGTGGGCCGCACAGATGAAAGCTTGGAGTGTTTGAGTTTTGAAATTGTCACCGCGAAGCTTGGATTTTCAGACTACCCTGGGGCTGGACGTCTCTTTGCTGGTCTGTTTGCAGGAAGTGGCTCTTTTCGCAGGAATCGACAGTTTCTTAAGAAGTTCCCTTCCTTGGATAACTGATGACCTACTCTGATGTCTCCTTGGAATGTTGTCGACCTCTGCAGGTGCAACCCAGATCGAGTTGCTCATGGATCGTGAAGGCAACTTCAATCGTGGTTTTGCTTTTGTAGAGTTCTACAACCATGCGGCGGCTGACCTGGCCAGGAAGATACTTAGCAGGCCAGACTTCAGGTCAGTGTTGCCATTCCTCTGACACCTGGATTTTCCCCCTTGGGCCGCTACTTTCGTTTCTCCTGCTTGCTGCTGTTCCTGTGGATGTGTCAAGAGGGCGAGGTGCATCTGATTGGGACTGGTTTGCAGGTGCTGGGGATGCCATGGCGGTGCAAAATCGACCATTGTGCATGTCATGGATAGGGCAACGTCGCTGTTCTGCCCAGCCTCAGTGTTTTGGTCGCACGTGATCGCCTGTGCCTGATCGTGCACTCCCTCCCACCTCGCTTTCCGAATCAGCCCTGGGCCACCATTCCCGCAGCACCTCGCAGTTGCTTCCTTCCTTGCCGATGTGTGCCCATTGATTCCTCCATCGCAGTGCTGTGCCGAATGCCCCTCCAGCATCTGCCGAAACCGCCAACAGTCCAGCGGCATGCCACAGCAAGCACTGGTGTCTCCACAGCACATCTGATCCCCCTCATACAGGCACCTGTGCCCCTCCCCGCTTGTGGCTATTGGCCAGCACCGAACTCCACACCTCACCAAAATCCTTGCTACCTGGTGTGGTTCCCCCTCCGCTGATTTTGAACATATGTTTCCTCCGATGGATTGAATGCTGGGCATAGAAGGGTGTTGGCCAGCCGTGTCGGAAACCTTGAAGTCGGGAAATGGTCATGCAAAATGGAAGGATGAAGTGTGGTCAACGATTCAGCAAGTTGGTAATGAGGTGGTAGGTAATGGTGTCGGGGTCTTGTGTGGACTCAACCGGCCTTCCAGCTTTCGTGTCTCTTGCACCAACTTTGCTCTGGGTGAAGGCCTCAACAGGCATTGTGAGCCTTTGCTGACTTGTTGCAACAGGTTTGCAGAGTGGCAATTATCTGCAGACCCCGTGGCTGGCTTGCCAGTGAGCGCCAGAGCATTCAAGGTGCCTTGTGCCAGGCCTTGTGCTGTTGCTCAGTGCTCGTTTGTATTGAAGCAGGTTGAAGGACAGGATCCTGACAGTAACATGGGCAGAGCTCAGGAAGAATGATGGGGATCAAGAGAAGGTGGGAAAATTGGCAGATGCATGCCTGGAGCTATGCAATGATACATGTCCATGTCACTGTATCCCTGCATGTATACACAGCCTGATACCCTGGGTCAATTCTGTTTCCTGGCAACACAACAATGCAAAGCACGGCACACGCTGGGAACCCGGGCTGTTGCAGAGTCAGTGGGGCTTCTTCCACCTTAAAGAGCTGCTGTCAGCAAGTGACCTAATTGTCCTTCAATGTGTTGATATTTGGTGAGCCTTATATATGGGCCAGCGCCCTTCAGTTCTGAATACCTTCCTGGATGCCCTTGGTTCCCTTAAATTGCTGGACTTTTTCAGTGCACACTTGCATGGTCATGCACTCTGCAGGTGAAGTCGATATATATTGGCAACCTGCCACACACTGTGACTGAAGAAAAGCTCAAGGATATGTTCAAGGCCTACGGAGAGGTGAGCAACTATGGGAGGGGGACCAAATAGAAAGCCAGATGTGGGAGGATTATTGCTGAAATGCAGTACCCCTTGTGATTCTGCAATAGAGGACAGATGTTTAATTGGTATGCCAATGTATCCAGGGAAGTACCGTAGATCGCCGAGGATAGTGCAGGAGGTGTTGAATAGTGCAGGGCCCTATAGATAACGCCCCCGGCGTTATCAAACATGGCCGGTGCTGCGGAGCGCGGAGGGTACGCAAGATAGCGTGGGGGACCACTATTCACTTCAACATCACGTACAACCACAATGCAAAAGCATTTTCACCCATTCTTGTATCTCATTGCATATGCTATCAACCCAATGTTATCAAGTTCACTCCAATTAAACATTGCCACGATATTCCTCCTTCAATCAAACACCATGTCCTCAACATTCTCAGTACCTAGCTCCATACTGCCATCACTCAAACCAAGGTCATCGAGATCTCCAGGCGGTCTCTAGTGCAGTGCGACGTCCCAATAGCTGTTATTGGTTGGTGCCGCGATTGGCTTCTTATGTAAATTTGTGTAATGCTATGTAATATGCTACATTGGCCAGGCGCCGGTTCGCTTTGCCAATCAATCTGGCAACCCTGGTGGCGTGGCAAATGCAGCGACCTGTGGCTTCCCTTCACTTTTTTTTGGCACCGATTTTGGCTGCTGCCATGAGTGGCGCCTTATGTAATGCGCTAAGTTGGTGGGGCGCCAGTGAACTTTATTGCCAGTACGAGGCCCAGCATGATGTCGCTGGGGGGAGAGCTACTGAGTCAGCGACCTGATGCAGAACCCGGGGGGCACAGAAGATAGCACGGGGGCACACAAGATAGTGCCCCCCGCATTTCTGACGTCAGCCCTGCTGTGGAGCACAGGGGGGGTGCTATCCTCCGTGATCTATGGTACAAGTATCTACAAAACCAAGATGACATGCACTTGTTGGGACTTGTCCAACCATGATGTGCATATTTCTGAAAGGCAGTCACAAAAACATCCTCCACACACAGAGCCATATCAGTCACTTGTGCATCCCAGGTGCGAAATTGGCTGTGCAGTGGTGCATCTGCGACAATAGGGAAACTGGGCAAACCCTGAACAGAGCATAAGCCAACAAAATGCAGACGTGCGAGGTAAAGAAAGAAGCATCTAAAGAGCAATGTGTGCTGTTTGCATCTGTCGCAAAATGCACGATATTTGCATATTGCAGCAGGGAATGCTGTGTGGAGTAGTACACAACAGACCTGTATCCCCTGTGTGCTATCAAGAGAAGCTCTCATATCCCTGTTGCTGGTCGCTATTGGCACAGACTGATCTCCAACGGTTTGGTCCAGGTTGAGCGGATTGTGCTGCCACTGGGCACAGATGGCCACAAGTACCGTGAGTATGGGTTTGTGCACTACACTGACCGTGCCTGGGCCCTCAAGGCCATAGAAGCAGCGGGACAGGAGAGGCCCGTACTGGATGGCAGGGAGCTTTCGGTGAGTGGCTAGGCAAAGATTCGACAGCGCATTCTGAGCTGCTGCTCTGTTTTGACCATTTGATACCGACATGGTCCCTGCACGTTAAGCTCAATTCTGGTTACCCCAATGCTCTGTTGTGAGGTAACGAAATGTTGGAGATGTTGACGATGTTGTGTCATCATCATCATGTCAGCACCATCGCTTGGATCTCATGTGCATGAAAATGAGTGCTGACCACAGTGAAGCCGTGGATGTGAGCAGAGCCCAGAAGAGCCCTTGAATGTACAAGTGCAGTGCCTTGGCACATGACAGACGTTCTCGATGACTGTCATCTTGGTACATCTGCGTTTGCAGTGTGCAGAGCCAATTTCTTCCAGTCTGTGCGGACGTACTGGCCATGCTGGGTGCTGGGTGCTGGGTGCCTGTATTCTCGCTTGGTTTCGAGTACACGTGCATCAATAAATGCCAACTCAAGTTTGTATTTCCACAACAAATACTTTTTTGCCAAGATAAAGCTGTCCCCATTGCCCTCAGCCTGACAAGTTGCTGAGTAGTATCTGTAAGATGTTGCTTTTCCCATGTACTTTTGACAGTATTAGCTCAACAATTGGAATATCTAGTATATACCGAATGCAACAGCTCTGAAATGAACAGATAATCCTCACATTCCCCACAAGACAAGGCAGGTCTACTGCTGAATTGGAGAATCGCCAGTGGATCAGAGCAACACATCTCATATGTACATCCATCCTCACTAATCCTTTTCCCCAAAAAGGTTTCCATCAAGCCAGAGCATGGCTGTGCTGTCCTGCATTTGGCAGGTTGCCCTTGCAAAACCACCAGTAGTATCTGAGCCGAGGGCGCCGGGCTTGGACAGCCGTGGTAGAGTGCCAGCCAGTGCTGGTTCAAGGGGCCCAGGTGGGCGAAATCGGCCACTGGCACGGGCAGGCCACAGGGGCATGGGCGGGGGTTACCCAGATGCGTTCGAAGGGTACGGAGGGTATGGAGGGTATGGAGGTGGTGAATATGGCGGAGGCGGGTTTGGTGGATATGCTGCGGCAGGAGGCTATGAGATGGGTGGCGTCTCTTTGGTGCCGATGTACCTTCCGAATGGCCAGGTAAGAACAAGCAGTTCCTTGTACAGCATCCAACTGTTTGGGCCAGGGAACATGCTCAGCAGCGAATTTTGTGCCATGTTTTCCGAGTTGTGCGTGCAATTCCGTTTTGTGGCCATTGGCAAAGTCAAGACATGAGGGTCCCTTTTAGTCCAATTCCTCTCGAATCAAAGCAGCCTGTGGTTCACGACACCATTCTACATGGAAGCAATGCGCAGGGTATGAAAGGGCAGAGTGGGAACGAACATTTACAGGAAAGTCTAAGCAGAAACACTAAGAGGAAGTGTTCTTGCACTGAAGGCAAAACCAGAAATTGTGGCACAAAGCTGTTCACAGTGAATGAATTGAAGGTGAAAGTCAACTTTGTTGTGCAACAGCATCTTTGTATACGCTGCCTCCTCGATTACCATGCACAATTGAACATAAACACTCGTTGAGCCTATTGAGCAGATGCCAACTGGTGTTCATGTCCCTAAGTGTATTATGATTCTGTGTGTTTCCTCCTATTTGTCTATTGGAGCTGAGAGTTTTTTTAGCAGTGTTGCCTCAGAAGGCTCACAGAACATCTTGGTGCACGTGAGTCCCCGACTCGCTGCCCAGATCAACACTGCCCAGATGTTGGTGCACTTGGGGGCTCAGGCTGGTGGCAGCTCAGAATGCAGAGGATTAACTGGACATTCCAATGCACTATAGTGCATCTTTGTATTTGGCTTTGCTCGGGTTGTATATGTGTGTGTGTGTGTGTGTGTGTGTGTGTGTGTGTGTGTGTGTGTGTGTGTGTGTGTGTGTGTGTGTGTGTGTGTGTGTGTGTGTGTGTGTGTCTCTGTTACACAGACAAAGTATTGATTCCTTGGATTGTGCGCAGAGTAGGGCAAACAGGGATCTTGCACTTTGTAGATGAGCTCCATACATGCATCCAACATGTTTGAGCATTCACCAGTCGTTCAGTTCTCCACTCACTGGCCATATTGTTGGCATGTGATGAATGTTGTCTTTCAGCCGCTGGTGGTCCATGCACAGGTGGGTTTCGTGTTCCAGCAGCAGCAGCAACAGCAACAGCAACACCTCCAACAACAGCACCAGCAGCGACTGGGCCCTGCTGCTCCATCCAGCGGTGGACCGATAAGAAAGGGCGCTGGTCAGCATTCGCACAGTGGTGGCCATCGTGGGGAAAGGGGCTCGGGTGATTACGCAGGCAGCAGCTATGGCAGTTACGGCAGCTATGGGTCGCAGCGCAACCAGAGGGGGCCTGGGCGGCCATCCGGGGGATCCTATGGGAGCTATGGGGGTTCCTCACGGGGCAGTGGGGGCTCATCGCGTTACAGGCCTTACTGACGACGGTGCAGTGTGTGTGTGGGTGTGTACCATTCATTGCGAACCGCACAGTGCCTGAGGGCACAAGCCTTTTCAAGTTTCTGACTGTACGATAATGCGAGGTGTTGGGAATGATGGCACCAGACGTGCCCGTCTGACGCTGTGCAAGAGTGCCAAGCAGGCTTATTGTTGTTTCGAGTTTGATTTCCAAAGTGGGACTCGTTTCAACTGATTGCTGGCAGCATGACAGAGCTGTTGCGATGTGAAGTGTGCTTGTGTATGATTTTGGTTTTAATACGTTTCCCAGTGCGAGAACGCCTCCCCGCAAGGCAACTGTGGTCCTGAAGATGTCCAACTTTTGCTACAACTGGCAGGAGCAGGACAGCCTATTTGCAACCCCGCATGTGCCTGCGTATGCCAAAAAGTAACCCCGGCACATGTGGATTCGCTGCCATGCTTGGCTGACCTTGTGTGGTCCACTGCAATGGCCGCTGCTGCTATGACCTTGGCTTCGTCTGGCCTTCGTCCCTCATATGGCCGTTATGCAACACCATCGCCTACGGCTCTAAACCGAAGTCCATTCCTTCCTTGACTCCTGCGCTCGCTCCCAGGTGTCAACCAACTGGCGGAAGAAACGATGGTCATGAGCCATGTATTAGGGGCACCCCTTCAGACGCTATGTTGTTGGTGCACTGCAGTGCTTGCTCGTGGTAGCCATGACATTGTCACCAGGGACCTGCACGTCAGGCACTGCCTTCAAGGTCACCATCCATCACATGCATACGTCAACGTATGGAAGGTGGTGAGCACCACATTGGGTGAACCACGACGTCTTGGTCAGGTTTCGCCTGGGACGCCTATGGGTTGGGAAGAGTGTCACCTCTTTTCCAGATCCCAGGAAGCCACGGTGCCCTGCCCTGAACATTGCCTAGTCGATATGGCGACAACTTGTGATATGACATGTTGTGACATTGTTGTTGCCTCCTTGGTAGCTGTGCGCCCTGAAAGCTGCGCAACTCACACAATCGGCACAACACGCCCTTGTGGATCAATGCCTTCCTCTCCCATCGGACAATGGCGATCCCGATGCGGCCAGCATTCACGATCTCAAATGCCGCCTTGCAGCTGTCACAACATGCTGAATATTGAGAGGAATTCTCATTACCCTGGAGCGCTGCAATGCCTTTGAGCACATCACGCTGGCATTTCGGGGGCGTCCGGTTCCTCCAGAGCAATATGCGTTTAGCCTTTCGATGTAATGTTATTGGCATTCTCCCGAATCTTATAGGCAGTTAATGTTAGGAAACAGCAGCACACGGATACCTGAATCCAGCGTGGGTTTGTAGTCACCACGACGTTTCGAACAAAACCTTGTCTCATCAAAGGGCTGTGAAACACTTGTTGAACACATTCGATTCGCCAACTTACTTGCCTTGCCGTTTCCGCTCCATTTGGGATTGTTTGCGCAGAAATGGTGGGCGCGTCCTCTGCAGCCTAATTGGTGGAACCAGCTGATGGCACAGTGGGATCGAAAGGTGCAGCTACATATGAGTCATCCTGCAGTATCGGTTTCAACAATTTGGAGCCAGTTCTTGGTCGTGGCAAGGTCGCTCATCAATTCTGACCTGATGGGATTTCGCGGAAAGCCACATTGGTTGACTTGGAATCTTTTCGGCGGATCTACCACAAGCTCGCACTCCCAGCAGTCTCTCAATCCAATCTTCGAGGATTCAAGGATGGCTTTAGACACACCAAACTAATTTTCCGACGTCAACGCTGTCTTTCTACATTACACGCTATCTCTTTGGGATCTTTCTTCCTACGATATCACTGGGGAGTCCATTTTCTTGAGTTTGAGCAGCAACAACAACATCTATTCATCCCGGATTTCTCCAACCGATTGCACCTATTTGTCAATATGATCCTGAAGATGAGATGCTCTTTTAACTTTTGAAAGCAGCAAGTGAAAATTGTAAAGTAGAAAATGTATATGTCGCCATGAATATGATGCCTATGGAATGCGTATACACGAGGACGCCGGAGCCTTTCCAGTGTATTTCACCATACCAGTGCCAAATCTCGTTGGCTTTTGTCCGTTTGCTCCTGCAAACGCCTATGTAAATGTATTGCCATTAATGGCAATACATTTGAATATTGACAATATTGTCAATATTATCAACATTGTCAATATTGACAGTCGCTTTTCAGCACTAGGCGTTCATGAATTCTAAGCTCCCCGTTGCAATACTTCGGAAACCAACCATAAATCACGTACCCTGCTATTATTGGGCTAAACGGGGAGCTCATGTTGGTCTCCTACCTTTGTATGCTATACTTACCTGAGTGCACGAATGGCAGAAATTTGTCAAATTTCTAGAGGCCAATTAAAGGCTTTCTAAAGGCCTTATAAAATCCAGTTAGCCTCTCATGTGCCGCTTATTCGCCCCTTCATGCCCTCCAGCCCAACCCCGCCCACCCACCCACCCACACATCCAATCCACGAAACACCGCGAGACGACGCCCCTTCCCGGACGCCCCAAGCCACCATGGCTTTCGACGCCTCGAGCTTCGCCACCGACCTGGGCGCCCTCGCCGACCTGCTCAAGCCCAACAACGACCCCCGCCCTGACGGACCGGTCTCGGCACCCGCCCCCGCGGGCGGCCCCGGTGCCATTGGCCCCAAGGACCTGCTCCCGGGCGCCCAGCCGCCGCCCGTGAGGGGCCCCAAGGACCCGAGGGCAATCTGGGACACAGACGAGGTAGAGGCGGACGACCTGGTGGACGAGCGCCTTGACGACGGGCGGGAGAGGCCGAGGTTCGAGTTCCTGTACAAGCAGGTGCTGCTCCACAGTTTTGACTTTTGGTATTGCGGGGGTGATGGGGGTGAAACATGGGAGGCCCTAGACGTGGCCATGGCACGTTCTGATGAGTCATGTATTCGGGCAAAATAGCAAGCTGACGGCTACCTCATTGCCTTGTTAAGTAAAAATGACGATGGTGATGGTGGGCCATGTATTGTGGGTCAGCACGGACGGTGACATGCACATCTTTATCATAACACCATATGTAGGAAATCTTCTTCTGTACAAGCAGGCCGTGGAGACCACGGATGCTTTCTTGGGCATGTCTGGGAAAGACCCGTCGTCCTCAAATTGCGAGAGCCTGGTGGTGCGCGTGGAGCTGCCGGACGTGGAGTCGGCAAAGGACATCGAGCTGGACGTGCGGGCCGACAGCCTGAGGGTGGCGTCGGCGGGCTACAGGCTGGCCACGCACCTGCCGCACAAGGTGGACCATGAGCGGGGGGAGGCCAAGTGGGACGGCGGCAAGGGGGCGCTGTCCGTGTCGCTGCCCATCGTACGGGAGGAGCTCTTTGCTTGACGGTCTGACCCCTCCGCTTGACGGGAGGGCCTCTCTGCTTGGCGGCCTGACTGGAACGGGTGCTTGAGCGTGCTCGTGGCGAAACGTGACCGCTTCGCTCTCCAGGGAGAACAGTAGTGTTCTTTGGTAATTTTCAGTGGTGGGGGTGGGGGGCAAGTGTGCAAGCCGGAGAACACGTGCGTCTTGCGTGCAACGGCGGAAGACAGACCCGCCAGTGGAGGCTGCTGCTTCGCCTTGTGGATGGTGCGTGGCCGCAGCTTTTTGCCCTCTGTGCACAAGTTGCGTTTGTGCTATCTTTCGATTGTTCCCTTGAGGTAAACGATATATATATATAATATATATACGATATATGTTATATGTCGTTGGCGGCTTTTGTTGTGCAGTTGCGATTATGCCGAAGATTTAGGTATGTGTATGCGCATTGCTTGCATGCATCGCATAGCGCTTTTCAAGTCTTGGTATCTTAGGTCACACCCCTTGGCCCCTTGCATTGAGTTTAAATTCCTGATCCCAGTACATCTATCAGACACCGTCGCTCAACGTTTCTGCATTGTTTGGGGCACCAATTAGCATAGAAGGATTGCATCATAGAAAAAGCCCCTTTAATAGCGACTAGCTGGCATCCTGTGAGGCCCAGAACAAGTGGCAAGTAGCCCAGAACCGGTCCAGGATGACTCAACACTAGGACAGCGTCACAGAGGACCCAAGACGTGCTGGGAAGCCACATGATCCGCCAGTGTAGCCAATGCAGGCCTGAAGCAGATTGGAAGCAACATTCAATGCGGCCAACAACGTACAGAAACCCACGCAATACCATGGAAGCACCAGCGGGATGCCGCCCACCGCCCACCGCAAAGTACTGGCGCTCTACCCGTCACTCCCTCGCCACTCGGAATGGCTCAGGAACCTGCGCTCGTGCAACAAAACCAGGCTCAGTGGCTCGGAGGGACATGGCAAGGAGCTCCATGTTGAAAATCGGCTCAATGCTCACCGATCACATTGCATGACCGATGACTAGCCAATGGGCTATGGGAGGCCCATCCCATCCATCCGGCCAGAATGCCAACGTAGCCGCCAATGTAATACCTTATGCTGGGGTGCGCCATCTTTGCGCTTTCCAGGGGACATCGCCGGAGGCCCCTCAGTGGTGGTCACAGGGCAATTGGGTCCTGCAGCACCCAATGACCGCGCCAGCCTCGACGGTGACAAGGCAGCGTCACCCCTCACCACAAACGCCACAGCGCCAGTGTCCCAAGGTCTATTCGCCAGCGATGCAATTGAAATGGGGAGTCCAATCGCAGAGCGAGGGGGCACAGGACCGGGAGTGCCAACGATCAACGCCGCTGAAGGAGGGGCTGTGGGGATGGCTATGGTGGGGCCGTCCAGCCACCGAGGCCGCCCATGTCAAGACAGCCTCGGGGCGATGTTTTGCAACCGTGCGGTCTGGGCGGCCTCCGTTGGCGGCTTGTTTACTGGGAGCCAGGCTGTACATGCACCCGCCATGAAGTGGGGGGTTGCAGGCAGCAGAACTCCTGCCGAGTTCGCGGAGGGAAGCGCCAAAGGTGAAGGCGCAGGCGTGGAAGATCATGCAAGCCCCTTTCAGGCGAGAGTTGAATGCATGAACCTGTACGACCCCCATTCAA